GCTTGCTGTGACAGCAGTTAAGTAAACAATGATAGCACAGGCAAGAGCCTAACTATGTTCAAAGAATATATATAATTGAAAAGAATTTAAGAGATTAAGAGCTGTTGATATATGATTTTAGGGTTAATGGTTTATTTAGTTGCTTTTATGTATAAATGTAAACATTTGAAGTGAGTAAATGAATTCAGTGCTTTTAGATCCCCAATCAGAAAAATCTCTCCAGAAATATGTAGCTTAGAGAATTGCAAACCGTTTAATTGGAAAGCAGTTTCACACATTTGATTTTACCAAATATAAACAATTGTAGCAACTTGCCACCTTCTTTTAAATTACAAGTGATATCTTCTTCCCATATCCCTTCTCTTATCTACAAACAAATCCGTAAAGCCTGGTCATTTCAGTCTTGATTAACAAAAGTCCATTAAGGGTTAACAGAGATAATAATATATGTATTTTAACCCTGATCAAATAAACCAATGTTAGATTCATTCTTTTTATCTTTAACGATCTTGATCTTCAGTTACTTCAAAATATCCTAGTACTTTATTTCTTTTCATTTCTTTGTTCCTTCTGACAAAACTCTTTAAAGCTTTAACAATTTTCTTTTGTAACTCTAATATAGGGAAATTATTTAGATTACTCTATTGGTTTGTGATTTCTATATCTGTTTTAATTATTACGATATCAGCTGGTTTATTATATATGTCTTGTGTAGCATCTTTTTCCATATCATTTTTGTAGACTGTGGTTTTTAAATCCACTTTCAGACCTGATTCTGAATGACTTGGTCCATTATTCAAAAATATCATTCATTTTTTCCAATGTTAAAATATTTTAGCTCATTCTGTATTGTTGTTGTTAATTGCGAAGTCATGTCCGACCCATCGCGACCCCATGAACAACGTTCCTCCAGGTCTTCCTGTCCTCTACCATCTTCTGGAGTCCATTTAAGTTCACACCTACTGCTTCAGTGACTCCATCCAGCCATCTCATTCTCTGTCGTCCCCTTCTTCTATTGCCCTCAATCTTTCCCAGCATTAGGCCCTTCTCCAGTGAGTCCTTCCTTCTCATTAGGTGGCCAAAGTATTTGAGTTTCAACTTCAGGATCTGGCCTTCTAAAGAGCAGTCGGGGTTGATCTCTTCTAGGACTGACCGGTTTGAACGCCTTGCAGTCCAAGGGACTCGCAAGAGTCTTCTCCAGCACCATAGTTCAAAGGCCTCAATTCTTTGGTGCTCAGCCTTTCTTATGGTTCAACTTTCACAGCCATACATTGCAACTGGGAAAACCATGGCCTGGACTATACGCACTTTTGTTGGCAGGGTGATGTCTCTGCTTTTTAGTATGCTGTCTAGATTTGCCATAGCTTTCCTCCCCAGGAGCAAGCGTCTTTTAATTTCTTGGCTGCAGTCCCCATCTGAGGTGATCTTGGAGCCCAGAAAAATAAAATCTGTCACTACCTCCATTTCTTCCCCATCTATTTGCCAGGAATTGAGAGGGCCGGATGCCATGATTTTGGTTTTCTTAATGTTGAGTTTCAAGCCAACTTTTGCACTCTCCTTCTTCACCCGCATCAAGAGGCTCTTTAGTTCCTCTTCACTTTCTGCCATTAGAGTGGTATCATCTGCATATCTTAGATTGTTGATATTTCTCCCGGCAATCTTAATTCCAACTTTTGATTCATCTAGCCTGCCTTTCTCATGATGTGCTCTGCATATAAGTTAAATAGGCAGGGCGACAGTATACAGCCTTGCCGGACTCCTTTTCCAATTTTGAACCAATCAATGGTTCCGTGTTCGGTTCTCACTGTTGCTTCTTGACCCGCATATAGGTTTCTCAAGAGACAAATGAGATGGTCTGGTACTCCCATCTCTTTAAGAACTTGCCACAATTTGTTGTGATCCACACAATCAAAGGCTTTTGCATAGTCAATGAAGCAGAAGTAGATGTTTTTCTGGAACTCCCTAGCTTTCTCCATGATCCAGCGTATGTTGGCAATTTGATCTCTAGTTCCTCTGCCTCTTCGAAATCCTGCCTGTACTTCTGGTAGTTCTCGATCCACATACTGCTGGAGTCTAGCTTGTAGGATTTTAAGCATAACTTTACTAGCATGTGAAATGAGTGCAATGGTGCGATAGTTTGAACATTCTTTGGCATTGCCTTTCTTTGGAATTGGAATGTAAACTGACCTTTTCCAATCCTGTGGCCACTGTTGAGTTTTCCAAATTTGCTGGCAAATTGAGTGTAGCACTTTTACTGCATCGTCTTTTAAGATTTTGAATAGCTCAGCTGGAATACTGTCACCTCCACTAGCTTTGTTGTTGCTCAGATTTTCTAAGGCCCATTTCACTTCACATTCTAGGATGTCTGGTTCGAGGTCAGTGACCATCTCATTGTGGTTATCTGGGATGTTAAGCTCATTCTTGTATAGTTCTTCTGTGTAGTTTTGCCATCTCTTCTTAATCTCTTCTGCCTCTGTTAGGTCTCTGCCATTTTGGCCTTTATCATGCCCATCTTTGCATGAAACGTTCCCTTCATATCTCCAATTTTCTTGAAGAGATCTCTGGTCCCCCTATTCTGAAAGCCATTTTGCTTTCTTGCATTTCTTTTTCTTTGGGATGGTTTTAGTTGCTACCTCTTGTACAATGTTGCAAACTTCCATCCATAGTTCTTCAGGCACTCTGTCTATCAGATCTAATTCCTTAAATCTATTTGTCACCTCTACTGTATATTCATCAGGAATATGATTTACTTCATACCTGAGTGGCCTAGTGCTTTTCCCTACTTTTTTCAATTTAAGCCTAAATTTTGCAACGAGAAGCTCATGATCTGAGCCACAGTCAGCTCCTGGTCTTGTTTTTACTGACTGTATACAGCTTCTCCATCTTTGGCTGCAGAGCACATAGTCAATCTGATTTCTATGTTGACCGTCTGGTGATGTCCATGTATAGAGCTGTCTCTTGGGTTGTTGGAAAAGAGTGTTTGTTATGACCATCGTATTCTCTTGACAAAATTCTATTAGCCTGGAGTGGTTTGCCATTTCCTTCTCCAGTGGATTTTGTCAGAACTCTCTGCTATAACCTGTCCATCTTGGGTGGCCCTGCACGGCATAGCTTATAGCTTCATTGAGTTACGCAAGCCCCTTCGCCACGACAAGGCAGTAATCCATAAAGGGGAGTAATCCATAAAGGGGCATTCTGTATTAGTAAGTCAAATTTAAGTGTTGTTCTCTTTTAATTGTAATCTTTAGCTTTTTCTTGTTTCCTCTAGTTTCCAACCGTAAAACTATCATCCTATCATTTAAAAAAATATTCAAAATAAAAGCATTTCATCACAGGAAAGATTCTTATAATTAATTCAAAATTCTTGTATTTCAAATCCATTAACCCTTAATCAATTTATATTTTCCAAAAGCAAAGTTCTAATCAACTTTTTGCTGTTTATTAGAAAATAATTAAATTCTTAAACGTATTTAAAACATGTTGTTAAAAATTAAGAAAACTCACCCAGTGTTTTCAGACTTAGCAATCCAAAGGTTTCTATGGCAGATAACAAGCAATTTCCAAAAAGTAATTAGAAAAGGAAAGATGTAAACCCAGTGTTCTTAAAGTTGTCAACTGTGATTTGAGCAAGATGGCTATTCCCTTGTCATCCAGAAATCTGAACCATCATGGGCTGCCATTTTTTGGTCTCCTTGGAAGGCACAGCTGTCTGGAACACTTGGGGATGATTTCAAGTCCTGTCCTTGTCCAGAGAGGAATTATGAAGTGCTGGTCTGCTCTCTGGTCTTCATTCTACTGCATCATTGGCTACATTAAAAATGGAGCTGTCTTCAGTTAATGATTTCTTCACCAGAAGTACTTTTGAAAAGTTCAAACTGTCTTTCTTATATCCATAGTTGAAGTTCCACATTGTGTTCCAAACACAATCCTATGTCAAAAAACTGGTGTCAGTAAGATATTGGGTTTTTTTTAATAGTTCCTAGATAAGAACATTAGCAAAAATAAATCATTCTTGAACAGTATTACCTTACAGAATTTGTTCCTACACAGCATGGGGTTGGCTATTGGCTTTTAGATGGCTTTTGAAGAAGATTAGACAAATTCATGGAAGAGAAATCTGTCAACAGCTGTTAGCTAAAATAACTAACTGGAATAGTTAGACTCAAAGGAGTGCCTTTATAAATGCCAGCTCCTGAAAGAACAATTGATGGGGTAGAATTATTGCTTTTCATTTTGTGGAGCTGCTTATAGAACCATCTGGATAAAGCACTGTTGGAAATAGGGTCTTTCCAGAAAGGCTGTATTTATATTTTCAGTTTAGTACTAAAATTAAATGTAATTAAAATAAATGCAAAGGTAGGAGTAAGACAAACCTAATGCATTTGGGGGAAAAAACAGCAACTCTTAAAATGATGTACAGTACTGAAAAAAATACTGTCTTAAGAATATGAAGTGTGAGGTTCTTTGATTTTTAATTTTTTCCCTGTTGTGAACTTGGCGGTATTTTCTCTGAGCTATTCTCAGGATAGATTATATATTCCAAAATTGTATAGCTGCATCAATATGTAGGTATATAGCTTAAAAATAACCATTCTCTGTATCTTTATACAACACAAGGCAGATAATTTTTTCACCAAGGGTTTCTAATGATATGGTATTTTGCTTTGCTATAAGAACCTAAGCTGTTTATGTCTAACCACTCTGAGGTTTTACACTTGTTTATGTTATTGTGCTTACCTTTCAATGACTGTAAACTTGTCAGCTGGAGGGGGAAGGGGAAATGGACTTTTAAATCCTACAACGTGTGAAAATCCATGTGACCAGAGATCCAGTCTATCTTGCCTTCATTTGTAGATAATAAATTGCCTTTCAACAGAAGAATCTCCAACTAAGTAGCTATTCAGTTCTTAGATCAGTGATTCTCAACCTTTCTAATGTCGTGACCCCATAATACAGTTCCCCATGTTGTGGTGACCCCCAAGTGGGTGTGGCCACCAATAAGAGAGAGTAGGACAGCTAGGGAAAAGGGAAAAAAATGGCGGACAGCATGGTTTGGCGACCCCCGTGAAATGGTCATTCGACCCCAAATGGGGTCCTGACCCACAGGTTGAGAACCACTGTCTTAGATCATTTTTGAGATTAAACTCACAATCAGAAAACCCGGATATGGCAAACCTTTCTGGGCTGTCTCTTTTCCAACTGCTGGTAATACTTTTCTATTTTAAAAAAACAAAACAAAAAACTGTATGCAATGATACCTACTCTTGCTTTCCATTCAGTAAGATCAAATGCATTCCCTGACATGTTTATTGGATATAATATGTGTAAATATGCGTGGCAATCTTACTGTGTCATGCAAATAAAATTTTTCCTATATGTATTTAACTGAATAAGTATATTTCACACAGGACTCTAAAGTATACATTAATCAAAATAAAATGTGTTTGTCAGTACTTTTATCTCAGCTAGAAACATTTATTACTGAAGTCAGAATCTTCAGCCCCAACTGAGAATAAGAAACTAGATTCTGACTTGTGTGACAAATCTCTTTCACTATCCTTCTCCTGCCAGGATACATATACAAATAATATATGAGGCCTTGGATGAAGTAATGTGTGTAGCTAACTATAGAACCTTGTTTTGTTTTTTTAATTCATCCTTCTTAAAGAAACCAATATTTTGCCAAGCTACTATTTTCGAATATCACTTTCTCATGAATAGATGCTTTTAAAAATAGGAAAGAGGAGACAGAAAAATATCCGGGCATTATAAACCTGCTTAGTATATTTTTTCTTTATTTTAGTATAGTTTACCATCACATAAAAACACAAAAAAGTCTGCAGTAGATGCTATCTATAATTTGGCTAAGAATTTTGGGTCAGGTTTGAATTAATAGCTTTTTTTCACCCTACATACTGGACATCAAGGGTCTACAACCCCAGATCCTTTGACCGGTACCGGGCCACGGTATGCCAGCAACTGGGCCACACAAACAAGCAAAGCCCCATCCGTGGGATGCAGGCAGCACACAAACCCACATACTCTCCGGTCCATGAAAAAAACTTTTCTTCGTGGAACTGGTCCCTGGTGCCCAAAAGGTTGGGGACCTCTGCTGTACATGCCATGCAGAAAAGAAAGAAAATGAAGATATTTGAAGACTGGTCAAAAAGTAGGTCTGTATTAGTTGATGGATTTCTGAAATAAAATCTAGAGGGTGTGTGGTTTCCATGTGCTTTAAGGAAAAAAGTGAGGTGGGATCTCTAGCTTTTTATCTTTGGTGGGAAGATGCTTCCATCTGCAGTGACAGAACAAGCAGGGCCTTTTTGTCCTAAGAGTTGGGGGGTGGTTGGTGCATCAGTTTGATAATTGATGTATCCCAATTATTGACTATTATATGTGGCCGTCAAGAAATTGGGAAAAGGTTCTGGTGAATGAACGATACAAAAATCGTGTTACTGAGGGTAGAGACAGACTAATACAAGTTTTGATTGGTCAGGGAAGATATAGTGAGAAACACTAGATTTGTTGTGTCGGAGGAAAGAAAATAAAAAATTTGCTGTCAATTTCTACTTCCAACTCAATGGTCTAAACCTGACTGATGGATTGCTGATGGTGTACGCCAGTTGCATTTGTAATAAAACTTTGTTCATTCTCAATCTTGTGGTAAATGAACATGCATATTTGGCATATATTACTGAACCTGGCATATATTACAAGATCAGTGATGTCATCGCTTCAGAGATTTTCCCTCTAAATGTTCAGGTTATTCAGCAACTTAACAACACCAAGGCTGAGGAAGGTAATATTAATCATACAAGACATCTTACCTGTGAACAGATATCCTTCTCCTGAACTGTGGGATATGGATATCTGTATAGTAAGTTGGGGCAGCAAGGATAAACTAGAGTATCTGCAGAAGTAGGGACCTGCAGTAGTACAGACCTCAGCTCTTGAACCTGGTTTTTACACTGGTGTTGAAGTCTGTACAACTTTGGTCTTAAGTGGATCCAGCTTCCATGCCCTGGATGTCAGGTTGAAGAAACTTGTGGGATCCATGGAACCATAGGCTTTTCTCAAGTAATCTATGGCCCAATACATTCAGGGAGCCACATGCTAGACATTGTCTTTGTGCCAGAACATTTTGATCATGGAGAGCATTACAGTTAACCCCATGCTGTGATCAGATCTCAACTAGTCCAGATGAGATTGCGTGTCACCTATCAATGTGACAAGAAGGCTCATTAAGATGATTCACCCAGCATCTGATAGATGCTGATAAATACGGGCAAGCATTTGGAGAGTTCCACTGAATGCCTGCTTAGCCATTGACAATAGAATCTATAGATGATCCAGGCCTTTTGATATGATTGCTTCTGAGCAGTCTCTCTCTGTCAGCTAATCCCAGCTAGTCTTTTGGTTTACTCAGGAGTTTCTGTAGAAGAAATGAAGAAGAAATACCTAGAGTTGACGAGCAATATAACAAATGAAGCTCACACTGAAGCCTATACCATGGACATAATGGAACTTCCTTATTGCATCAGCAAACCGCCATACATCAATCTCTTTTAGGATGGCAACTCCCTTTTCAGAAATGTTAGTAGATAGATTTCCTGGATGATGTCTGTGCACAGCATTTTGCTGACAAAATTATTCAGATTTGAAAGTCTTAAGTAGGATATAATGTGGCAACGTGGAAGCGTATAGCTATGTAAGTTGGGATTCAAGTAAGTCAGGCACATCAAAACATCTAAAGCAGAAGAGAGATATATCATAACAGTATTTATCTCTAAAACCAGAGGTGGGAAACAAGTGTTTGGCCAAGTGATTACAGAGTTGTGGGATGCTACAAAATTTGGTCTCCACTCTTTTTAATGTTTACATGAAGGCATTGGAAAAGGTCATCTATCAATTTGAAATATTATGAATATGCTGATTGTACTTTGGCATTTTGGACTATGCAGAACTGCATTGTTGCCTTGTCCCAGTGTGTGAAAGTTATTTTCTTCTGGATGAGGTGAAACAGGCCAAAAATGAATTCAGATAAAATTAAATCATGGTTTGTAGATTGAGCTTGATTTTATTTAGCACTAAATTTAGGGACTTACAGTACTAGAGGGGCAAGATTATTTCCAGCCTTCTCTAAATGTGCACAACTATAACCACACAAGAAATGACTCATGTATTTTGAAAGCCAGATGGTGCATACATTGGGGAAAAAAACTGATTTGTATCCATGCATTTAAGGCTTCAAATTGAAGTACCCCGACACCAACATAGGCAGAAATTTGGGCAATGAGGAACAAAAAGCAGGTCATTTAAAAAACATGTCCATATCAGTTTCCTGCGAATTCTTTAAAAGTGCATTCATAGTCTGAAAGCAGAGAAGAAAAGAGCATGGATACAAATCAGTTTTTCTTTTCGGTGTATGCACCAACTAGCTTCCAAAATTCCAAAACTTTTCTTGGAATATAAGTAAACTCTATTATAGATGTTTCAGCACTCATTTTTCCATGTGTTTCTTAATGGCCAGAAGTCAAAAGTATGAAGCCACTTTTTTCTATTACTCCATCAACGTAGATAGTTAAGTGCCTTTCCACACACTTTGCTGATTGATTGCAATGACAGACAACTGAAATAGCTTCCTATTTTTGGCAGAGCAAATTGCCTGGAGTTTTTAGCATGTCATGCTTCTTCTCTGTTCTTCTCTTCTCTTCTCTTCTCTGTCAAATTCTACAGAGGCTTCAGACATATGAAGGCTGACCATTATGTTTGGCATTTTAAATTTATACATCATATTCCTTTAAAATACTTGGTAAAGTTTAAGGGCCTTAACCTATCCATGGAAAACCACAGTAATGATAATTTGATTTGATTGTGCAAATGTAGAATACTCAAATTTTACTGTAAAAAAAGTTTATAGTAACTGAGACAGATGGTTGGCTTGCAGATAGTAGGTAATTTAATAATTTAAAATATTAGCAAGTTTCCTTGGTTCCACACTTTTTTTTTTTTTTTTTTTTTTTTGTAAATCCAAAGTATTAATTCTTTCCAGGTCATTCCTCTGGTTTACTTGTAAATCCATTTTGGCATTGTTTTCTGTATCATTCTCATGTTCTGGCATTTTTAAATAAATTTTTGAGATCCACAACATCTTTTTTCCATACCATTTTTAGAGTCCAGAATTTTTTGAACTCCAAACCACCAGTCCATCAGTTTCAGTCCTTGTTACGTCCAATAAAATCTGTTGTTCCTCAGTATATCCTTTGCTAAAGTATAACCTAATTTTTTAAGATACAAATAAACAGCCTTAGTAAATTGTTCCCAAACAATTGTTCCTTTAATTTCTTCTATAGTCAAATACTGTTATTAATGGGTCTGTTTCCTTTTAAGAATAATATTTCATTCTCTCCTTCAAGCCCCCTCTTATCACCTGTTTATTTTCCAACCAGTAAAACTTTCACAGAGTTTTATAACTGATATCAAAGACTTCATTTATTGTTTAAAAAAAAATTAAGCACCCCACAGGAAATATTCTTTCAAGTCCACCTAATCTCTTAACTTTCCAAAATCAACATTTTAATCCTCACTTTTCTGTTTTCCAAAAATTAAAGCTACTCTTATTAACTTTAAAAGTTACTCAGAGCTTCTTTCATCCAGGGTGAAAGAAAAGTCTCCCAGTGTAATACAACATATTTTGGGGAAAGTTCTTAACTTGAAAGAAATCAGTAATAAGCACTCCCTAAAAGAATTAATAAAGAAGTAAGCAAATTCAGTTTCTCTTTAAAAGGTTAAAACCAAGCATCACTTAGGCAAGATTAGTATTTCTTTGGCCCTCAGATCTCTCATACCCATTGGAGAATGCTTTTTATTATCTCTTCACATAAATAATCTGTATGGACTCAAACAAAAGTGATCTAGTCTTTTCCTTCATCCAAAGAGCTGTTCTGAGAAGCAGATCCTTTCACTGCTTCTATTTCAGCTATGTTCATTAGCTCTGCAAAAAAGGGTCATGTTCAGTCCACCATGATATAGTTTATTTATTGATTTGACTTATCTGTCACACTTTTTAAACTTAAGAATAGCAATTATTCACCATAGTAATGGGGGACTTTAATTACCCTGACATCAACTGGGAGACAAACTCTGCACCAAGTGGAAGATCAAACAGACTCCTGACAAACCTAGCAGACAACTTTGTCTCCCAAAAAGTAGAGAAGGGAACTAGGGGATTAGCCATTTTGGATCTAATTCTCACTAACAGAGATGAAATGATAGAAGGTGTTGAAGCCACAGGAACCTTGGGAGGTAGTGATCATGCAATATTGGAATTCAACATTATGGAAGCACAAGCAATAGAACATAGTCAAACTAGAGTCTTGGACTTCAAGAGAGCTAATTTCAATAAACTTAGAAAGGGCTTGGGAAGGATTCCATGGATGAGAATCCTCCAGGGGAAAACAATGCAAGAAGCTTGGGAAATTTTGAAAAGCAAGATAATAGAAGCTATTATCTAGCTCAATACCAACAAAGAGGAAAAATAACAGCTCTCAAAAGAAACCAGCATGGCTTCATAAAGAACTCTCTGACAAATTGAAAGATAAAAAGGGCAAGTATAGAAAGTGGAAAGAGGGGCACATAACTAAATCAGAATATCAACAAATAGCCCGAGCCTGCAAAGTGAGGAAAGCCAAGGCTCAAAATGAACTAAGGCTTGCGACCAAAGTCAAAAATAACAAAAAAGTGAAGGAAACGATTGGTCCATTAGTGGGTGAAAGTGGTAAGAAGGTGACTAGCAATAGGGAGAAAGCAGAATTATTTAACTCATTTTTTGCATCTGTCTTTACACAAAGGGAAAAAAACAGACCAACCTATCAAAAATAGTGCCATAAAAAAAACAGTATAGAAACAAGTTAAGATGGGCAAGAAAATGATAAGTGAGCACCTGTCCAGCCTAGACGAGTTCAAATCACCAGGACCAGATGGATTACACCCCAAGGTTCTCAAGGAACTGGCAGATGTGATCTCAGAACCACTGAACTATATTTTTCAAAGATCTTGGAGCACTGGGGAACTACCAGAGGACTGGAAAAGAACTGATGTAGTTCCCATCTTCAAAAAAGAAAAAAAAATAGATCCAGGAAATTACAGACCTATCAGCCTGACCTCAATACCTGGGAAGATTCTGGAAAAGATAATCAAACAATGAATCAGTGAACACCTAGAGGCAAACAAAGTCATTACTAAAAGCTAACATGGGTTTGTCAAAAACAGATCATGCCAGACAAACCGTATTGCATTCTTTGACCAAGTGACAAAATTAGTGGATCAGAGGAATGCTGTGGATATAATTTACTTGGACTTCAGTAAGGCATTTGATAAAGTAGATCACAATCTACTACTCGATAAGTTAGAAAAATATGGGTTAGACAGCATCACCACCAGATGGATTCGTAGCTGGCTGACAAGCCATACTCAGCGTGTGGTCCTCAATGGAACTGCATCTACATGGAGGGAAGTGTGTAGTGGGGTGCCCCAGGGCTCTGTTCTAGGCCCAGTGCTCTTCAACATCGTCATCAATGATTTGGACGAGGGGATAGATGGGAAACTCATCAAATTTGCAGATGACACCAAGCTGGCAGGAATAGCCAACACTCCAGAAGACAAGCGTAAGAACAGGAGGACCTGGACAGACTTGAACACTGGGCGCTATCTAACAAAATGAAATTCAATGGTGAAAAAAGTAAGGTTCTACATTTAGGCAAGAAAAACCAAATGTACAGGTATAGTATAGGGGGTACCTTGCTCAATAGTAGTAACTGTGAGACGGAACTTGGGGTCCTAGTAGACAATCACTTAAATATGAGCCAGCAGTGTGCTGCAGCTGCCAAGAAGGCCAACACAGTGCTGGGCTGCATTAACAGAGGGATAGAATCAAGATCACGTGAAGTATTAATACCACTTTACAATGCCTTGGTAAGGCCACACTTGGAATACTGCATCCAGTTTTGGTTACCACGATTTTAAAAAGATGCTGAGACTCTAGAAAGAGTACAGAGAAGAGCAACAAAGATGATTAGGGGACTGGAGGCTAAAACATATGAGGAACGGTTGCTGGAATTGGGTATGTCTAGTTTAATGAACAGAAGGACGAGGGGGGACATAATAGCAGTGTTCAATATCTCAGGGGTTGCCACAAAGAAGAGGGAGTCAAGCTATTCTCCAAAGCGCCTAAAGCAGGACAAGAAGCAACAAATGGAAACTAATCAAGGAGAGAAGCCACCTAGAACTAAGGAGAAACTTCCTGACAGTTAGAACAATTAACCAAAGGAACAACCTGCTTCCAGAAGCGGTGAATGCTCCAACACTGGAAGTTTTTAAGAAGAGACTGGACAGCCATTTGTCTGAACTGGTGTACGGTTCCTGCCTGAGCAGGGGGTTGGACTCGATGACTCTTTATCTCAAAAAAAGAATGGGGACAGCTGCTAAAATTAATCAGATTTGAACCAAAGCAAGACATAGATGAAAGACCTCTATAAGTCATTCTATATGATTTTGGGACAATTTCCATAAGTTAATTGATTGAGCTTCTGTGGCTACCAATTTATATATCACAATCTTAGATGATTTATAAACAGCAGTAAAAATACAACAAATATATAGAACAATAAAAAACTCCAAGCATCTCAAAGGCAAACATTCCTCCACACATCAATATTTAATTTTCTTTTGGTTGTATTTAACATTCAATCCCTAGCATCTCAGTGTAAAATAGAAAATAAAATACATAAGACCCTTGGGAGATGCTGGCATCTTAGTAGATGATTTGACCCAGCATAAAGCATCTTCCTATGTTCCCACATGAAGTTATTTATATACTGACTTTTACTGTTAGATATTTTCTATTTAGATATTGACTTTTACTATAAGATTTTGGCATTAACTATAAAAAATAAACAATTTCTCAGGATTTTGATTATCCTGATAATTGCAAGTCATAACAAAATATAAGTGATGATTTTAGAAACTGGATACTAGTGGGGATTAAAGATTTTAAGCAGAAGGAAAAAATAAAAACCTGATTTCAATTAATACTGTGAGTTACAGAATGATATAAAACAAAGGAAATATAAAAGGAGATCATTGTAGTAACTACAATATCAACACTGTCAGTAATGACGTCTGCTTCTATGAATAGACAGTCTAAAAGATGTTAGTGAAGAAATGACAAATATGGAACAAATTTTATCTGATAAGATAAAGTACAGAATGTAGAATTACAAATGACAAGCCAAGAGAATAGAAAAGAACACTTTACTAGATATAGAAAAGAAACTGATTGAAGTTTTTTAGAAGTAAAATACAATGATGAACCAAGGGAATGATCTGGAAAAGGTTTTCTTATTTTCTTATTAGAACTTTAGAAAGACAAAATAAATCTGTAAAATAAGATAAAAGGGAACTGAAGAGAAATCATATCCTATAACAATAATGGATTGAATTGACAAATAAAAGGAAGGAATACGTGGAAGGAACCATCAAAAGTAAAAGGAAGGAATGTAAAGTTGGTTTATTTGATCAAGATTTTTTTTTTTTTTTGCAAAATTCTGGCAACCTTTTATGAACTTTGTACTAACTCCAGAATTGAGAAGTTGATGTGTTATAGATTTGATTATTGACAAAGGATGAGATATGGGATGAAGAAGTATCTGTTTTTAACCTTAGGGGGTGAATTTGTTTACACTTGTTGTGGTGAAGGTTGGAAGTCCCTTCATTATATTATATTGTATTGTATCATATCCTATATCATATCATATCATTATTTTATTTTTAAGTCTTTTATATTATCTTTTATCCATTTATTATATTGTAAGCCTCCCAAAGTTATTTCTATGTTATATTCTCTTTTGTTTTTCTTTTTTTCCTGTACCTTTTATATTTTTCTTTCCATTTTCTTTTCTTTCTCTTAGTTTGTCTTAGTTTTTACTACTTTAATTACAATTCTTAATACAATTATATTGAAAAAAGAAAAAAAAAGTCAAGGTGTTGGCCAGAATCAGTTATGAATAGAGATGTATAGCATTATAACATTAACATGTCTCAAACTGATTCTTATAAGTATGTAGCTGCTTCAAAGATATAATTTAGAGTATACAGATTGACATGCTATATTAGATTGCCTAACCACAGTGTTTGTTATAAAGTGGAGCTATCATAAAAATAAAGTGCCTAAAATTTTAGTGGAAATAATTAAATTTGCAAAAGTACTGCAGCTCCAATTAGACAGACTTCATGTTAATAATCGGTTTTGAAAATCTGAGGAAGAGCAGGAAATGAAGCCATCAGAGTTATTTATGGAAATCAAACTAAGTGGATTCTTCGTATGTAGCCCGTGTAAAGATACATTTTTAAAAAGAACTTGGTAAATAGCACCTGAGGCCAGGGTATGACCGTCAGATGACATATCCCTTTGAAATTTGGAATGTAGAATAGCACAGTAAATACAATAACAGAAGTGAAGGTAGGGAGAAATGGTTTATTTCACCAATGCTAAATTTCGTGCTGAGAAACGCTAGCTATAAATTTACATGGTTTATAAAGAGAAAAGGGGGGTATCTTTGTAGTTTTCAATTAAACTGCATCTTTATTCTATGAATGGATATTCTTCAGTAGGACATGTGAAATAGTGTTTTTGTATAAGAAACAGAAATTCCAATTATTTCTTTGAAGAATTAGAAACTTTTTCAAAACCATTCATTTTCCTGCTTCAACTGCCTTTTCCCTTCCCTTCATTTTTTTGCAGTTACAACAAATAATTTGAACTTTGGAAATAGGTGTCATGAAAGAACAATTTGGGTTATTACAATATTTGTACATGGGACTGCCTTTGAACATGATCTACAAATTTCAGTTACTTCAAAAGAAAGTATCTAATTGTTGAAGGGTATTAGCCAGTGCAATCATATTATGCTGGCAGTTTTCCGGCCTACTTTGTCCTGCTTTGTTAGTCACAAAGAAAGAAACTTTCTGAAAGACGTCTCTACCAATGGCTATTCTTGGTATTCCCACTATATGAGGCAAGGTAGTAATTATAAGAAAGAAGACTTTTGACATATTTATTTTTATCCATTTCTGACAATTTTATTATATACCAGGTATAGCCAATCTGGCTGGTCCTCTGGATGCCTTGGAATGCAACTTCCATAAGACTCAGGCACCAAAGCCAATCATAAAGGCCAGTGAGGGCCACAGGTTGGTGCTAGAAAGCCCAGGCAGACTGGCGAGGGCAATGGGTGAGCACTAGGGAGCACAAGGAGTTGTGAGTGCCTTGTGCTATGGAGTGTAGGTGGGTAAGGAAGTGTTACAATATACAAGATTCTAAGTTCTAAGATGGCGGCGCCTGGATCGGCTGCAGCTGCATTAGCTCTCAAAGGTGAAATGTTTTAGGAGGGATATAAGGGATATAGGCCACATGATCGGGAAGGTTTTAATGTGTTTAAGCAATGTGGTGGAACTAAGGTAACATACAACTGACAATCTTTGCTGGCATGGCGAGTTTCTAGCTGTTTCGGAACTGTTGGTGAGACCATTAAAAATCGTTGGCTCTGTTTGAATTTGTTCTGCCGGCAGAAAGATCTGACTGCTGGCCTAGCGACAGATTCTATTGCAACTCAGGGTGTTTCCGAGGGAGGCAGAGAAGGAGAGGTCCCGGAGCTTATGGAGCGAAGGAACTGGATGAGGCTGTCGGCAGGCCCAGAGGAAGAGAAAGAGGCTTTTGGAGGAGTTGGTGGCGGCGGCAACGTGCTCCAGGGGCCAAAAGAAGCAAGGCCTCTTTAAGGAAAAGGTGGAAGAGTCAGGATCAAAAAAAGGAAAGGAGGCAAGGTTGTCGTGCAGGAATACAATCTAATTTGAGGGCTAATCCACACGGAGCTCCATTTCTATCTGTCCTGTTTGACATCGTTCGCTCCCTAGAGATTAAAATGGCCAATCTGAAACTTCAGCTGGAAGCCATGAACAAGGGGCATATATCGGAGGTGGTGGCCCTTTGAGAGCTGTGTGCAACGAAATTTCATTTCGGTGTATGCCGATTGGTATACATTCAAAGTGACAATAAAGTTGTTGTTATTGTTATTGTTAAGATGCTTGGGAGATCCCTGGGGAGAAAAAGCGTTGGCAATGACTTACAGAAGCAACTTGTGAATTTTCATGCTGGCTTCCCCCATTGATTTTGCTTGTGAGAAGCCAGCAGAGAAGATCACTAATGGCAATCACATGTCCATGGGACACTGCAACCATTGTAAATAGGAGCCACTTGCCAAATTCCCAAATCACGATCGTGTGATACAATGGCGAGAATATCCAGCATGTCATAAATGCCACACAATACCAGCATTATCGTAACATTGAATGGTCACTGAATGAATGGTTAGAACTTGAGGATTACCTGTGTATTTAATCAGTTCCTCTTTCTGACTAACAATAAATAATATATCATGAAAGAGTATTAAAAAAAATAAGAATGCAAAGCTATGAGAAAATATCCTTTTAAAAATACAAGAGACAACTGAATGGGCAGTTGAAATAAGATTAATAATGGGGAAAACTTTTGATTTTACTTGTAAAAAAAGGTACATTGTGAAGGATATGTCATGGTATTTAATAAATGGATGTAAATATAATTATATTTTATTATTTGAATGTATATCTGTTACTGACCGCTAAAATATAAAACTGTAAACAACTGAAATCAAATATAAGGAAGGCGTATCTCCTGTCATTCCTGATCTGGCCCCCGGAAAAACTAGATTAAAATTTATTTAGAAATACACTAATTATTTGAAAAAGGGTTTTTTAAAAAAAAAATGTTTAGGAGCAACCGTTTGAAACATGCATAGATTCATCTTATTCTTTAAAACTATATTAGGCTAGTTTCCAAGTTGTGCTGACATCCTACATACTGGTTTTCAAAAAGGACTGTCACCATCAATTTTTCTTTTTTAAGGGATTTTAATTCTTTCAGCATGTTCATATGGTTTTATAAAGCCCTAGATACATGGCAAATCCCCTTGGTGTTGTAAGACAAGATTGCTGTTAAAAAATGTTTAGGCTTAGTCAGCTTCTTCTCACCACTGAAGTCATGAGGGACTCTGGGAAATAGTGTTTATACTAAGCTTAAATTGATAGGGCAAGTTTAATGCAATCGGGTCAAAGGTACAACTGCTTAGCTAGTCTCATCAACTGCTCAGGTTTCAACATCAGTTTATAAGCAAAGGCCTCTAATGATAACATCTGGCTGCTAACTCAGGGACTGCTTTTTTAAATGTCATGATTGAATGTAATTCAATGTGGGGAGGAGCAAACCTTAAGGGCAGCTTAATTCCTGAATTATATGGTTTCAACTAGATAAGATAGAAATGCCAGGCTTTTTGATTGATTTCATGAACCAACTCTTTCTTTTTGTATCAAGAGCTTTTTTTTTCTCCCCATCACCCGAAGATATTTATGTGAAGTGGGAAACATGCAGAAAGTTTTCTGGCCTTGTGAAAAGGACAGCTTCTTGGTGTTTGGAGTAAAAAATGTCAAGTCATTTAGTCTTGGTATTCTTAGCACTTAATTAAGAAGCTAAATTCAGAGAGATGATTTTGAAACAAACTTAATCAACCCTAACTTGAAATTTGGTTGATCTGGACTATTTTAACCACAAGTCAGAACCATGTAATTGTATTGAATCAGATAATTTATTTTAGGAACAAAAGAAATTATAGTTGCCTCCATGCTGCTTCAACTACTCTTACCGGTATAGAAGGCATACAATCATTCTCAAAGACATGCTCAAACTTCTTTACTAAATGCAATTTACAACTTATGTCCTCATTAAGTGAATTTTTTCTCAGTCTTCCTTTTCTCAGTTTTCTTGCAAGAATGTTTTATACTAGGGAGGGCTTTTTCTTTTAGTTTCGTTGCATCATTCTATCTAAGCTGATTTCACAGGAAACACATATAATTGTTCATGAAGACAAATAATTGTAAAGATACAGGTGCATCATTGCATGTTAATGCCCACATTATGATTATGTCCAAACATATGATTGAAGATGTTCTTAGTTGATTTCATCAGTTTTAATTAAATTGGCAAGCCTAGCTAAGTTAACTTGTAAAAGCAACTTCTGAAAGAGAAAAATGCATCATATCACATATGAAAAAATATTGTGTTTGTGGGGAACAGAAATTCCATAATACAATCCACGCAAAATTAGAGATCCTGGAATCTGAAACAGCCAAAGGCTTCTTCAGTGTTATACTCAGATCTCAAAATAATTGACTAATGTAAGAATTAGTTTCCTTCAAACTAAGCTCAGCTCCTAATGACCTTATAGGCACATCTATGTAGTTAACACCACATAAACTGATGTTGAAAAGCCTATTTCTGAAAGCAGTAAAGTGTTATCCTTAGCTTTAACGATCTACATACTGCCTGGCAAAGCCAGTAGCTTCAGAATTCCAAATGCATATCTGAAGCCACTCTACTTTTGCGTTTCTTTTAATCTGTAAGTTGTGCTGTTTCAAATATATATGGATTTCTATTTATAGTTCAGTCAAAAGTTGGCTTGAGATGTTTCTTTTTTGTAATATATGTTCATGGTTTAATGCTTACATTACCCATTCACATTTGTTCCTTCAAAGAAAGGATGGAATCTTTTTAAAGCAATAAAAATTATATACATTGAACTGTTCACAGTATAAACTTTCTTTGAGGATATTAACGAAACCTAAACTACCAACCGTTACGTCCGGTGAATCATATTCTATCCAAGAGTGTTTCTCTGTTAATGCTCATAGTAAAATCCAAATATATCTCTGTATGTCTTGGGATGATATATTTATACACCATATATGTAAGATAAAAGAAACAGATGAACTGAATACTATGGAACTAAATTATGTCAGTGTTATTATAACTATGTTTCCTGCACTACAGACCATAATTATGCTAATTAAAAGAAAGTAGAATTCTGTACAATTATGAACATTTAAAATTAAGCATTTGGTTTCTAAATTAAATTTTACCTTTTCCTCTCTTCCATGCCCCCGCAAACTTCTTCATTCCCTTCCCTATTTGGCAACAGCCACTTACCTGCTTGTGGCCCGTAGACTTGCAGCTTCCTGCCGGCTTCTTCCTCAACTTTGTTTGCGGGAATCTTGCAGGAAATTGCCTCACCGTTAGACTCAGTTAACAGGGATATGACTACAGGGATTGCTGTTACTAAGCAATGCAGTTGCTCTTTACAATTACACCACTTAGCGATAGAAATTCCAGTCTCAATTGCCATGGTAAGTCAAGAAATATCTGTATTTTATTTTATTTTATTTTATTTTAATTTTATTATTTTATTTTATTTTTTATTGCAGGCATCTTTAGGAGGTAGGGCAAAAAAAAAAAAAATCAAGATTGCAGCTGCAACCACACAATCAAACTTCTGCCCATTTTTATATCCAAAACCTGCGTAAAAAAAGAGATGAGCTTCAATCACATAATCATGGCCACCAACCTGACTGTTTTAACACATACACCCTCTTTTAGTCATTAGATGAGCATCATCTTTCTTTGAGTTAAGTGGAACCATTCATGCAAGGAAAAATATACAAGTTTCCTCCTTTACTTACTCCTCCTCAAGAATTAATGTGCAGCAGCTGATGAAGTACTTTGTGATCCATAAACATTTGTAATAAATATTGGCATTCATGGTGCTGCACAATTATGGTGCATGAGGTGCATTATCCTCAGGTACAAACATTTTGATACAATCTGCAGTCTACTTGTGAGCTCTTATATTAAAACCAGCGCATTTGTATTTTACAGTATAAATGTTCTGTGGTGATGATATGAAATGGCTCTTTGTGAAGCTGTAATGTTTCACGAACATGAATGCTTATAATACACCAATGCAAAAGTTAAACATCTTGGGGCATTTGCAAGAAGCCTGAAGGCTGTACCCAGTCACGAGCTAATGGAACACATTGCAGCCACCTTCATCCCCAATGCAAAAGTGTTGATGTGTCCCATTTCCAGTTCAGACATGCTCCAAGTCACTTAGGTTAAATACATAGAATAGAACTACATAATCACTGCAGCCTGAATTTCATATTGCAAGCACCACTTTTCCTTAGGCCTAAATTCAGTCATGTGTAGACTGACGTTAATTATCCTGGTTCAATTATATATGAGCAACTTTAATCCCAGATGAATTCAGAACGAGAACCCTTACAGAGATGTATAGTTTTCCAAAGAGGTTGCTATGGGAATCACAGTTTGAAGCTCTTTTCAAATATTTTTACCATCGTTTTTATAACAAAAATTAAATCAGTGAATAGCTGTAGCCACAAGACATTAACCTCCCTCCGTAAGAAAATATTCACATTATTGCTACTAAATATGGATGGAGAATATGTACAGAAGGTTCTTGTAAGATCCTGTTGGTCTCATTTTTCTCTCCACACATATGAAAGCCGTGGAAGTATGAAGTTACATTAACAAGATAACAGACTATCTAATGGCCCACTTTCAATCAACCATACAGTGGAGCAAATCATAAATCATACTAATCACTATCAACTATGGAATTCATATCATGTAACAAATTTCTGAACTTTCTAGACTTATTCAGATAGGCATATAAATGGATCGGAAGGAATGAGATTGGACTAAATTATGAAGTGCTGATTTCTATGCAGTGCCTCAAAACACTTACTCAAGCCATTATATAAAGCCCCAATGAAATAAGTCCAAGTTGCACCTGAATAATGGTGGCTGAAGTTTCTGATTTAAAAATGGAAGTGCTCAGTTATATGACTTCTAAAATCTGGATGAAATTATTATACCAGCCCCAGGTTTCTTTCCTGCATAGCATCACAAATTAAATCCTGCTTTGGTATAATCTAAATTTGGGTTGAGTGGCTGTCCCCTGTCTTGTGTAATTAAATTCCAGTTTAATGGCCAAGGTCTCTACTGAAAGCAGGGGGTTGTTGGGGTGCTAAGCTGCAACATGAGGAAGGGGAGGGGGTAATACACATTAGTCCTAATACACATTTAGTGACTGTTTGAAGTTACAATGGCACTGAAAAAAGTGACCTATGACCATTTTTTACACTTACAAGCATTGCAGCATCCTCATGGTCACGTGATCAAAATTCAGACACTTGGCAACTGACTCATATTTATGACAGTTGCAGTGTTCTGGAATCATGTGATCACCTTTTACAACCTTCTGACAAGCAAAGTCAATGGGGAAGTCAGATTCACTTAACAACCGTGTTACTGACTTAACAACTGCAGTGATACACTTGACAACTATGGCAAGAAAGGTTGTAAAATGAGGCAAAATCCACTTAACAAATGTCTCACTTAGCAGCATAAATTTTGGACTCAGTTGTGGTCATATGTCGAGGACTGCCTGTGATATACATATGCACTACCAAGAGTTTCTGATTTTTCTCCCAAACTAGGGGAGAAAGTATTTTTTTAAAAAAATCTATTAAATTTATTTTAAGAACTATGTGTTATTTTTATGGCCATTTAAAGATAGGAAACCACACTGCCAGTCTTCAGGAATTATAGTTGATGGTATATAAGGAACCAATTTGGGGTTGGCCTGAAGCCCTGGCCCTGTGGGTTACTCATATTTGCTTTATTTTCATCTACATTGTCTTTGCAGCTACGATTTCAATATCATCTGCTTAACCATCTCAGGACATTAGCTTACAAAAGCAAATGGGCAAATATGTAAAGTTTGGCCATTGTTTTCTGACGAATCTTTGATGTGGATATTTTGGACATTTTCTGCAAATCATATTTTTTTTAAAAAAATAGAAAAACGTTTTTATTTGGAATATTTATCCATGATATTTGTTTATGATAGCATTGCTTTCAGTTAAAGGTTTGTAAAAATAGTCAAATGTACCTGCTGCGTTTATAAATGTAAACAATTCAACAAAGGAGCAAAAGAAGCCAAAAAGAAAAATTCAGGAAGAAGAGAGTCTTCTGTTTTGCAAACTACATAAACTTCAGGGTGTTTTTTTTTAATTTAGCAGATTTATTCATTTATTCTTGGTCAAATTGCGGCAGAAAAGTTCAATAAAATTATATAACACTGATAATTGCAAATTGAAAAGATTTATTTCACTATTGCAACCATCTGGGTCTTAATTAGGAGCCTGCTAACTTCTGCTATGTTTTCTTTTATCAACTTAGAGCATGGGTGTCAATCCCGCAATGTCACGTGACATGTTGCGACTATCACGACTTTTTTTCCCATTGCTGGCAATGGGATGGGTGTGGTTTTGGCATGGCGCATCCGGCCCGTGGGCCAGCAGTTTGACACCCCTGACTTAGAGGATAGATCTATTATTAATTTAACCTTTACAAAAAATACATACCTAAGTGTTTCTCTTATTACTTTCAGTCTGGCACTAATTATTTTTTGTTCCATTTTGGGCAAATCCTGAAACAAGTTAATAGATATTCTTCTTCAAGAATATAAGGGATCTTCTCCATTGAGAGACCCTACTAACAATTCAAATTATGATCAGGTTAAATTCAGTCCTCTTTTCTATTAACTTGGCTGTTTTGCTTCAAGCTATTGTAAAGTAATAGCTTTATAAAGTCATTAAAAATTCAAGTAGAATAATTCTGCTATAAATGTTCACTTAATATTCACTTAATATTAATGTTCACTAAAAATTCACCAAAAAAAATTATTAAAATTCAATTCACATATAATAATCAGAGATATGAAAACCATATCACTGATTCTGAAAAATGTGGGTTTATATTTGGCAAATGCTGTAGTTGAAATACTTCAATTTAAATTAGACAGAAGAAAGGAAAATACCCCTCTATATTATTTGCTTTGGGCCCCAAATAATTTGAGCAAGAGCATTGCGCCATTTATAATTCTTCATGTAAAACATATTAATATCCATGCCTCTCTCCTCAGAGGAAAGAAGCTTGGCTACCCATATTACGTTATGTACCTTTGAGAGGAATCAACTTACATACATGCTTTATGGTTTTGGCTGCCAATTAATAGTATCTGTGAGTCTTACACCTGATACTCCCCATACCTTAGAAGAAGAAGAATTCCTTCAGGTTGTTATATATTGTAGCCAGTATTCAGTGTTAACAGCAGTACAAAACCGTAGAGGAATAAAACCTACAAAGAACCAGTTAAATAATTCACTAAGTGTCAGGATACAAAAGACACATAAGTATAGAATAGGATTTTTTTAAAAAAAAAAAAACACTATGAAAAGGAGAACTTCAAGGATTTTAAAACTTTCCTACAGTATCAGAAACATTGCTAGGTTACTAAATGAAACATGTTGCCTTAATAGTCCTCTTCCAATTATGATATTCTTAGATCATGCGTTCAACAGTAATGCAGGATGGCATTCTATTTCTTTTCTCTAAATTACCCCCACGTATGTGAGGTCATGTCTCACTTTATACGAAGTCAAGGCATATGCAAAACCCCTCTTTCTGGTAACTCCACTTGTCAAGACAGATCAGGAAGGTTGCAAGTGTGAGTGACAAGAGGCAGCAGATCTTTGTAATAAAGATATCTCGAGCCCTACCTTTCTGAGTAAGAATCAATTCTGCAACATACATACATATAATAACATTATTGCAGCAGTAACTCTAGCCCCTCTCCTATATAATCAGTGTTTTTGGAATGCTTTTAGGAGACTATATCTATGGTGAGACCAACATTTTAGATCAGCCCTTCAGATAATGTTGGAGTTCATTTCTCATGAGCGCATCTCAACATGGGCAGCAGTCATGAGAATTGTACTCCACAAATATCTGGAGGCTCAAAAGGTTTTGGAAGGCTTGGAGACTGTATTTTCTGACACTGCTTTTTCAACCATCTAAACTTGTTATTAGTCAGGATAAAAAGTGCCCTAAATAGTAGATAAACATATCTAAAAAAAAAAATCTGCTGCTAATTTTTTCTTGATCAATTGCATAATAGACTAAATACATTTCAAATGAAGGTACAACATTCCAGAGAACAATTAAGGGAGTATCATTTTGAGATGCCAAGCAAAATGAAGGATACTTTACAATTTAATGGGCAAAGTAACAGCTTTAGCAGATTACTAACAGATTTGCACATAACAGGTAACAAGTTTACCTTATAGATAAATCTTACAGTTTGGTTACATCTGTACACTTAATATTTATCTTCAGCAATTAATCAACACTTCTTTATTTATGAAGCAGTGGTTCTGCATCAGGAGCACCATTATATGCACAATTTGTAATTGAAGGGGGTAGGAAAATCCAGAGATCATCCAAAGATCAATAATGGCAATAAATTGACAAACACAAGAATTATTAGTGCATAATTACAGCTGTAACTTCATAAATATTTTATTCCTCAAAGTTGTTAAATTGAAAAGGAAGTTTTCCCTCTCTTCAGCTGAGTAAAATGTTAAGCATGGTAAAACTTGACTGCATCATTTCTGATGCCGGTTCCTTCTTTTTGATTGTGATTTTGATTTTTTCAGTGCACTTATATAATGTACTTTGACTACATTTGTCCACATCCATAACTAATGTTTGTACGTACAGTATTCTGTTCTAGGAGAAAATGGCAGAGACTAGCAAACAGTTACCATAACAAAAAAACCCAAGCTATTGTTATTATTGGAACAGTGATCTGCCGCATTCTGCAAAGAACTGCCAATTGATCATAATCTGCAAGAAAGTGCATTGCATTGATATAACAAGTAACTTCTTTCTCAGTTGTTCCTGTCTGGGCTATTCAGTGGAGAACTAAAATGCCTGTCCTTCGCTTACATCTACCGGGAAGATGGAAGTCAGGCAAATTAAATTAAGTAATTCTCTGTCCTAACTTGCATGAAATCTTCTGCATGGCAACACTTGGCAGAGGGAAGCTAAATCTAATCCTTTGGGTGGCAGCTCCATTGAATATCTAGCCAACTTCTCTTCTCATTGAACTTCTTTGTTTCTTACCTTTTATTTTCAAGTTGTGATGCAATAGTGCTTAGGTAGTCTTGGGTGTGATCATTCTTTGAAAAGGTCACCTCTGGGCCAACTGTACTCTGTCTTGCAAATATCTCAATAATGCACTGATTGTCATTGCCTAACTGCTTAAGATGTATATAGTGCATTCATTGTTTTTTTTTTTCTGGGAAATTCTTTCTCTTGAAGCCAATGAAGGCTTCTTTGATGCAAAGTACAAATGCGCTGTGTGTACTGTATGTCTGTATACAGTAACTGTAAAATATATTCCTATATCAAAAATTGACTTTAAATCAGTTATACATAGGCAGGTTAGAAACTTAATTTTTAAGACTGTGTCCTGAATTGTCTCATAAAATGGGTTAGTTTGACTATTACAAAACTCGCATTGATTAAAACGCAAAGTGGTAGAATTGATCCTACGTACCATCACTAGCCTCACAGGATGCTCTACTATCTTACCTTGTACTTGTAATTTTCTCTTAAGCATACAGCTACATTTGCAAGCAAACTGCCGGGCTCCAGCTATTCATTTGTTATATTTTTCAGTAATGCTTGTGGAACGCTTGATTTGTTGGCTTGTAAGTATAAATAATAGAAGATGCAGTAGATGCACTCTGCAACATATCAGCTTCATGTTTATATTTTTAATTAAAACAATATTTTTGAAAAGTCAGCATGGACAACTAAATTCAAATGTTAAAAAGGGAGGGAAGAAGAATAATTTTAAAGATGCTGTTCTGGTGGGGACCAGAACAGAAAAGCACCTGTCTTTATTTCCATACAGTGGGAAATCTCTACCAGACAAGCCCATTTTATATGAAAAGGTTGGTCCTACATATAATTTATGTGCCAAACCATGTAAAACTTTATAGGATAAAATAACCGTTTTCATTTGTCTTCATTTGAGCCAGGGCATTTTGAACCAAATGTAGCTTCCAAAGGGTCTTCAAGGGTGATTCTACGTAGAGGGCATTGCAGAAGTCTTGTTGGGTGATAATCAGAGGATGAGTCATAAATGTTTCCTTAAAGTTTTGTCAACAATTATTCTAGATTAACAGCATAAAGGACATTTTAATTATGACCAGTCTCAAGTAAAAGTTCATTGTTGGGCCAAAATAATTGTGTCCTGAGAGAAATGTTCCGAGGAGCAGTTATGAATGGTCCAGGATGTGCTTTTACAAAACCTGTTTGTGTGTGTGCGCACATGCGTGCATGCATGTATGTGAAGCCTGGAGCATATTAGGAATTGTTTTCAAAGTTGTTTAAGAGAAATACTTGCATCTACTTTGACTCAAATGTCATTAATTCTACAGTTCAGTCAATATTGTATTCACAGCACCCCTTAGTCTATTTCTACAATAATATTCAATTATTATATGAAGACATGGAAATGATTGTTGGAAGTATGCAGATTATATGTAAATTGCTAGATTTTTGCAATTATAACTAATAATAAGTAGCATCATAGTGATATCAGTTTGGTTCCATGACAGATTAATGGCTTTTAAGAAAAATAATTGACCAGGCTCTGTCAAAATAGATAAGTATGTGCTACATTTCAAGAAGATACCCAAGAAGTTACAAATAGAGCTGACTATCTTGAAGTATTTCTTCAATTATCATCTTTTTTCCATTTGGTTTTGGTGCAGAGAAGACTTAATCTTCCTAATGACATATGCCAAAATTTTGCAGACCTAATCCATTTACTTCAGTCACTCAATAATTCACAAGACCATCAACCAGGGCCATCACTAATAGGTGACAAAGAGGAGAAGGCTGCTTGGCTAGGTTTCTACTCCTGCTATCATGTCAGCTCCAGCCAGCAACCCAGTTTAGGACCCGGAGAGGAATAATAGTTAAATAGACAGTCCTACAGCTATAGAGTTTGAGGGATAAGTCAGGAGTAAAGGGGGAAAAAACTTAACTGTTCATTTTGTATAACCAGTTTCTATCTTGTATCCAGAAATATATTGAAAGAAAAAATAATAATTTGACTGAAGCTGGAATATAAACATTCTGGGAGCTATATTTATAAAAGGTTTCTATTAAATGTGATGAGCTTGCAAAATTCTGTTGGAAGTTTGGCATTAAGCCATAAGGTGTATACCAAGTGACTAAAAAGAGACAAGTGCTTTGTTTGAAAGGGGTTTGGATTTCAATGTAATCCCTAAAACAAAGCAAAATACAATAAAACAAAAAGTGGGGGCGGTGACAAGAATTGCATAATTTGCTTCTTATAACACTGAGGTTTGGGGCGAAAGCTAAACAGGTTGCTTTAAGCCTGCTCAAACTTTTGAGAGCGTCATTCCTTCAGGGTTATATCTAAGGGGGCTTTTTGCATGAAACAGAAAAAGAAGATTTGTGGTTTTGATTATTATAAAAAAGTGGATAATAGAAAAAAGTAACTTTTTTGTAATCATAGAGTTCTGTGAGAGATAATTTTGTGATCATATTTGTATTTGCTGCAAAAGAAATCGGAAGCTTCTGTTTTTAAATCTTTTTTCTGTATTTTTGTTTCTTTTTAAATTCTGTATTAGTTTGTATTAGTTTCATTTTCTTTAAAACTTTGAATAAAACTTATATATACTGCTCAAAAAAATAAAGGGAACACAAACGCATAGGATCCTATACATTTGTGTTCCCTTTATTTTTTTGAGCAGTATATATAAATAGGATAATATTTAGTAGGATACACAATGAATAGGATGAGAGCAAAAGAAGGCGAGGACTTTCATTTTACTTGGACACATCTCTTTTCCCCTCTTTCTGATACAACCTCCCTTTCTACATTTGTGTGTGTGTGTACCCCAAGAGAAGGCTGCCAGGAAGAAACAGATATCTTTCACCAGAAATCTGAGCTAATCATTTGTAGAGGGCTGTCCAAAATAGGTCAAAAGTTGCATGTTGTCCACCTCTGATTTAGATAGATTTCTAACTTGGACTTGGACAGACAAATTCTTGGGCGATCTCGAGATAAATTGATTGCCCCTTTGAGTTTGTAGAATGATAGTGAAGTTTCATTGATAATATTTTAAATGAGTAAAAAGATCTTGGATTACAAATATTTTGTGAATATGGAGTTTTGAACCAACACACTTCAATGTTCAGTCTTGATTCCAAAGTACTCATGAAAACTAAAACATATAATAATTCTTTGGGCTCAGATCTGCGATATGGAAGTAGTTTGAACAAGAAAAATGGAATTGAAATAAAAGCATTTATAATCTATGTACAGTAATCACTATCAATTTTGTTAGGAGTTACACAAAAACTAATGAATTATATAACATGTAGTTGCCATTTGTGTGTGCATATATGTAAGTATGTATCTTTCTATATTATTTTACTGCTAATTGAAAGCACTTTCTCATTTTAATTAGGTAGTTGTTTTACATTGGGTTTCAATGTTGGGTATGCTGGATCACTTGATTTCTATTTATAATTTCAGATCTTGAGTACTTTGTTTTCTATAACCGATTCATTTAATATTTTTTTGCAATTAGTAAATAGGGATTGTAATTCTCTGTGTTACTTGCACCTGCTAGTTTGAATCGGAAGTAGCTATTTCTAACTATACAATTAATTCCAAATAACTGTCAATATCATATTTGAAAATATTCCTTAACTAGCCACGAAACACCATAAAATAGATATAGTTAAGATAAAGAACACTAATTGTCAGCAGAATTGTGTTTTTACACGTTTGGTGTAAGAAATGAAATAGTCATATAAGGAACAGATTGTTGTAAAACCAGTTTCTCTGATGTCAACATTTCACCGAGTGTCACTTCAGCACAATCCGCTATGGCCTGTTCTTGTACTTCCAGCCCATGTTTCAGCTGTGGGTTTTACAAAGTTCCTCCCCAATGCTCAGAAATGGTTAGAAGGTTATTTAATGCTGTTTTTTTCTGGAACTTGTGAATGACCTGGGCACCAGTTGCGCCAGGATGACTAAAATTCAGCAGATGAGAACCTTATCAGACTACTGTGAGGCCCGTATAAAATTATGATTTTAGGATGATGGATGGCATACATGTGCTCATGCTCACAAATATACACAACCTTTTGTTGTCTAGCTTATTCTGAATAAAATAAAAATAAAGTGATTTTTTGCTAGACAATGCATGAAAAGGTTAATATTCATTTGTTACTGTGTATGCCATAACTAGATGGCTGCTGAAAATTCCAGTATGCTAGAGGGGATTCGGTTCAGTCAGTGTGTGGTTGGCTTCCAAGTAGCACACCTGGCAGAGAGATAGGAAAGAATGTAAAACTGTTCTTATCCATGTGACTTTTTTTTTCTTTTAAAGAGGAACAAACATCTTTTTGCAAATATTCTTGGTCATCCTTTACTCGCTTTGTTATAATTATACAAGCATGATAACAGTGTCAGACTTGAATTTCATTCAGCAGGTATTCACTATATTCATATTTATTCGTGCAGAGTAATTTAAAATAATATTTCCCCAAGTTATCAACAGGAAATAAGAAAAAGGATAGTCCATAGTGTGATCTTATCAGAATTCCAAGAAATTTCATTCATGTTAGTAGTCCTCGAGAGGCTCATCAAATCATATAATACACATAGCAAAAACCGCATACCAGAAAAAAACTAAAAATAAATAGATATTGTTTACAAAGAACCTGGCACCCTTCCTAGTGTAAATAGAAACGTTAGTAAATTGATAACATGACAATGCATGTTTTCAGCTCACCTCATAATTCACTTCTCAGATCTGACATATTTGAATAACTTTTTGAAAAACTTCATAATTTTTTTTTTTTGGCATGGCTCTTCTATCATCCCAAAATTTGGATTATGAATCTTATGTCATCACTATCTATTCCCTCAAGGTGTGTGTTATCTAGCTGTGAAAGGGTATTTCCTGCACACACACACATCCAAAAATAATAAATTATTTCTGCTCTACTCCAAATGAGAAAACGCCTGAGCCTCTTTAGTGAATATGAATTACAATTAGATTTATAGATAATAATTTACATGCTTAAGCTTCTTGAGGTTCGCAGCCAAAAAGCTGTCTGCTTGCATATATTTTTATACATCTTTTAGCTAAATCAGGAAGCCAAGTGTAGAATCTACCATTCTTGTTAAATAATGTAGATTTGTGACACTCCCAGGAGAACTTTGAGTTCATAAAATTAGCTTATAGGTCACACTGATTTACCCTGCAAGGATATTTCCATACATAGCAATATATTAAAATAGAAATAAATCTTTATGATGTGTTAATACAGATAAGAAGCTTAAGTATTGCTTCTGTCATGCATGTTAAGTCTAGAAAAGTCCCCGTGGTTTATAAGAGCTTTGTAAAAAATACATTCACATCTAGCATTTAGAAGTGAGTGGCAAGGTAGCCAAAATAATCCTGAACACTCTAAGTGGGAGGACCAGCAGGTTTGGGAGGATCTCAGAAAGTAACGTTTCTTTTCTAGGAAAGCCCCATAATGAATAACTGAGAAGATTTGCTTACTATTTAATGAAGACTTATATTGGGTGAAAATATAGAATACCAGATGGAAAAAAAGACCTGAATATCCAGTGGGGGGGTGGGGCTAGAATCCAAAATATTGTAGACCTTATTTATTGTTTAACATTTTAAAATTGCCAAAAAATACTCTAATAAATAGCATAATGGGTTCAGATTGCAATCCAGTATTATATTAAGTGCAGCTGATTTCGTTCTAATACTTTCAGTGTCTGAAATTGGAGAAACGTGAATTTGTACTACTAACAATCCTGCCAAACATTTTTTATTGGATCATGGAATACAGTTATTTGAGAACATGAATTGACAAGACGTAAAAGAAACCACATGAGAGAATATTTTAGAAGTTGCTTCAATAGAGAAATGAGTATAGGTAAAAGAAGTGAAATTAGCTACTTGAAAATAACTGCATTGTTTGGAATTAATTTTAAAATAGTGTACATACCAAAATGCTTACTGTTTGCAAGTTTATGATGCTCATATAGAAAAAGCTGTGTACAATCGCTTTACTATTGTATTGTAACAATGTGTTTATATGCTGTAATTATGGGATTTTAATACTTTGCTGCAGTTTGTCATCTCATGTATCTGTCACATATTGTAGTATTCTGTTTGTCTCATTTAGTGGCAGTGAAATATTTCTGAACTTGAATTAACAAACAGTTACTGTAAATGCCATTCATCATTATCTATCCCTAAATACCAAGAATTTCAAATTAACTTTGTAACTTATGAGACTGAGTAGAAAATTTTTTCTAGATGTTTTACTTAAGTATATAAATACATGAAAAAACATGCAAATATGTAAGAGAAAGGACTACTGTGGAAAATTCAAAGCTATAGAGCATAAGACTGAGAAGAAGTAACCATGTTTACTACGATTGTTGGGTGTCTGCTTTACAAGAAGGAAGGAACCCAAACAATGAGAAAGCAAAGATTTTTACAGAAGATGGGGGTTACATATTGGGAAATCCTAGAGATCTGATTGGCTGGCAACTTTTGGGGTTGGTAGGTAATTCCTTGTCCTTGCATCTGGGTTTATTTCTGGTGTTAAGCAAGGTGGCACTTTTGGAAGGGCAGCAGATTTGTGAAAGCCCCTTGAGAAGGAGGTGAAATGTTGACCTGATTGAAGGTGAAAGGTTGGGATTTCTCTAGGTTGTAATTTCCTTGTTAGGACTCCCTTAGGCTATGCCAGGGGTCTTCAAACTTGGCACTTTTTATGACTTGTGGACTTCAACTCCCAGAATTCCTCAGCTAGGCAAGGGCCAAGTTTGAAGACCCCCAGGGCTATGCTGTGAGGTGGTGAGGAGGTTTATATCCATTGGTCTAGATGGGACTGCAGGGGACTTTGTTTAAGGGAAGGAAGGATCAAATTGGGTCTGTTAGGATTAGACAATGAGGGAAGGAAAAGGAGGCAGCCTCCATTTTATTTGCTACATTTATTTTCTCCACCATAAGATCTCTGCATTTATAATAAAAGCTGAGCAGATCTCATGAATCATATCAATATGGAACCTACTTGGTATTCTGATCTCTCTCAGCATGGTCCTGGTATAATCTTAGAAAAGAAAGATGAAGTGTATACACACACACACACACACACACACACACACACACACACACATATTAATATGCTCATAGTCAAAAAGGTTCTCCACACTAGGTACATGTATTTTTGCTAGAAGAAGTAATGATAAGCAGTTGACAGAATAACTTAATTGATGCTGCTATTTTCCCCCTTTCACAGCTGCGTGAGAACTTTTTCTCTGCCTTACTTTCTTTAAAATCAAAACAATATAAGAGCTACATCTGCACCAAGAGAAGTGAATTATTATTTATCTTTTATTTATTTAATTTGTAACCTGCCTTTATTATTTTTACAAATAACTCAGGGCAGCAAAGATACTTCATACCTCTTCCTCCTCCTATTTTTCCCACAACAACAG